TCCCAGAGATTTTGAAGGAAATGAATGCTTGAGGTTCTCTGACATACCTTTTCCTGTCTTAGCTACTACAGAATAGTTTGAAATATACCCAAGAAATAGTGTCAGAATAGAGGGAATGCGAGACAGGTACTCCCAGCAGAAATTAAGAAAATCCTAGATATTTGAACCCTGTATCTAAAATGGCTTATGGATAACTGTCATTCCACACTTACTTTTTATTTCAATTGACATTTTTGGATTCCTACAGTGTGGTGCGTCCTGTTATGCACCAGGACTGCAAAGAGGAGTAAAATGGGCCCCGGTCTGCAAGGAGTGTGGGTGTTTTCTGTTTTTTCCCACCCTATCTCGTCTCATGTTGTTTGACCTGTTCACTTGCTCCGTCAGTGTTGTACGGGTATTGATTGCTACTCTGGGTGAAGTTGCGAGTGTGTCAAGATGTCTTTTGTGGACATAGTATAGAATTACCATTTAACTGTGGTTCTGAAGACAAGTTGAATCCAGCTCTTGTGATGGCTTCACTCACTTTTTTCTGTTTCATGATCTCTAAAGACCCACCTATTCAAGGATCTATAAGCACTTAGAGCTATTATATAAGCTGTACAGATAAAATTGTAGCATGAAGGGAACTGGTATTTTAGATTCAAGAAAAATACTATAATATCATATTTAAATTGCTTTAAAATCTTTGGTATCCATGAATTTGTCATCGTGATATCAGAATTTTCATTAGTAGAAAATAAGCCAGATGACTTAATGAAATCAAATATGACTTTTAGTATCCACTGAGCATTAAATTTATTCCTTATGGAATCTTGGATAGTCATAGTCTCATCTCACATTCCCTTAAAGATTGGATGTTTGCATCCTGAGTTTGAGGTCTCTTGGCTAACATTCAGGACACACCTCCACCAAGACCAACTAAGCATAAGAAAATGTGCTTTCTGGACAAGCAAATGGACAACTAAATCCTCTTTGCAGGTTAAACCTTCCTCTAAAGAAACATTATCATGGTCAGATCACCATGCAACTCAAAGAGTAGAAATTTCCCATTGTTATTCTCTGTTCTCTTCAGTACTTAAGAAATTCCAGGGTGTCAGAACCTCATCTCGGAAAGGGTTGGATATCCCGCTAAGCACTAGTTCCTTACTAACCCACTCATAGTTTGATTAGATGAATTAAACATTGAAATACACAATCAGTCCTCAGGTCACTCATGTAAGCAGCTGAGTAGATTGTCTTTTTAAAATCTTATCCACAGAATAGTGCTAAAGAGGTATCCAGGATGTTTAAATGAAAACTCTCAAAATATAGTTGTTATAATAATGGTTAGGTCCTTTTTGCTTTGGCTATAGCTAAATTCTACTACTGAGCTTTAGTTTCAATCTAAATAATCTAAATGTTTGGCCTATTTCATAATTTTTTATTTCAGCTACATCTATAATCTTTTTGATTCAAAAAGTTAAAATTTATCTAGCCAAAGAGACCTCTGTGACCAGCAAACCCCAAATTTGTTCCTTTGTAGTCAGGGCTATTTGGTAGTTTCTGCTAAATCTTCAGTCCCTTAAACCACAAAGAGTAGTTCCAGATAATTTTTGGTGGCTAGGCTGGCTACCACATTATCCAAACAAAATATCACCCTGTCTTCTACTCCTTGCAGTATGTCTGTCCATTCTTTTATGCTCTTGATCATACCACAAAATGCATTCTTTCTTGGATCTGTTAGCATCTAAAGGGCAATATGAGCCTATGATTTCAAAGACAGCCCCTGAAAGCTTATGTTTTCTTTGTTCCAAAAGTAATTTTTAAAAATATACTGTACATTGTGGAAGAATACAGAAAACTTTTTTCTAATCTGTATATACATTATTAGAAATTAAATTGTAAAAACGGTGAACTCCACTTTTAACTTAAGCAAAACATGAATTCCCCCTTCCCTAATTTCTTTTCTATAATGTTCAATATTTGGCTCTTTTTTGTATCTTGTAGAATACATCCAAACTCTTTAATACCTGGTTTAAGTGTTAAAGGTATTATGTATTTAGAATAAGAGTGAATTGTGGAATAGAGGGTTTCTATCTTGTTTTCAAAGATGATGAACTTGGCTCTTTGTATATGTAGTGTTGACTGTCAGGCTACGTTTATAATTCTAGAAAATCAGAAGTCAAAAGAGTTGAGTTAATAGCCATGAATACCCTATATCAGATTATTCAGGTCTAGAGAGAGGAATAAGTGGCAGGTGCCTTTTCAGTGGATAACTATCATGTACAAGGTAAATTGAAATAGTCTTATGTCACCTGTTCTTTGGTTTCTTTATTTACTGTCTACTTCTTTAACATGGCATAGTATATAAAAGAGTATTATTTCTTACCTGTGAAAATGAGCTGTACAGATATTTAAGGAACTACTATATAGCTGTACACCCATGTGTGTTACATGTGTACAGATCAGTATAGTCAGCTAGCTGTAGAATGCCTACTACAAGGATTGCACAAAAGGCATTATTGTTGTTTAGCTCTGGAATAAAAACTTCTGCTTTGAAGTGTGTTCCCCAGGATTAAAGTCTGTAGTGTTTTGTTTTGTTTTAGTTTATTGATGTATGTGAGGCAGCCACAGAAGGTTCTCCAGAATCTAAAGAAGACTATTTCCAACAACTGTCTTGCTGTTAAGGCACATCTAGCATTTTAACTTCAAGTCTTTTCTATTTGTACACTTATTTTGCAATGTAATTGACTTAAATTGTTAAGAAAACCCAAAAAGTTCTATCCCTTTAATGACATAAGCCAAGATTTCTAACCCCAGTTCAAATTATGTTACCAGTGGCAGAAGCAGCTCACAGACCTGTTCCACCAAGGGGTTAAATTCTTTCATCAAATATGAGGGGCCACAGCTTGGTTGGCTGTAGTGCCTTTTTTTTTTTCTTACTTTCTAGTTCACTAATCAAATGTATGTTAGATTGATTATTGTAAAAGTATAAACCATAGAAAATTTGACAAGATAGATGTGTAAATTATCCCTCTGACAGAACTAATGATGCACTCCAAGCACCTTCTGTTTTCCAGCCTTGGTGAGCGATTTCATTAAATATGCAGGGGCTGTTGGGTGGCTTCTCAGACGATGGTTCGGTTCCTTGTGGAATTGCATTATTACTAGAGGTGTAAAACGAGCAGACAAGCTAGCTGTTGGGCATCCTGCTGAGGTTCTAATGTGCTCCATCTTGTTGGAGCAGTTGTTTGCAGTCTTTTCAGGACAATTACATCCATAACCACAGGACGCATTCAGTGAAACTATATTACAGATAACAGTGGAGACTGGCATTGACTGTTCTTCACTTCTTGAGTTGCCTAAGTGTGGGCAGCTTATAGTTATCCGGTAATGCCACTTTTACCACTCCCAGCATAGTTGCCCTTTTTTTAATCTTGTAGAGCAAATTTGGAAATGACTGATTTTTAACTTTTTTAAAGTGCTTAAAATGACAGTATTAGAGGTGAAGAGACTTTATTGATTCTTAGCTGTTTGCAGGTGAAAAACTGAGGCCGAAGCATAGTGTCATGGGTTATCCCTTAGGATAGAAGGTCC